ATTAAATCCAACCATGTATAAAATTGGGATATACTCCAAGGGGGATATATTCCACATATATATAAAAAGTTGTGCAACATTTGGAAATCAATCCGTGTTAACTGAGCATTTCATTCATAAGAAAAATCATGATTGTATTAAATGATACAGAAACTGCATTTGGTGAAATCCAAAACCCACTTGTAATTACAAAAAGCAAAAACTCTTAGTTAACTAGTAATAGAGGGGAATTTCCTCAATCAATGAAGAACATCTTTTAAAAAAAAAATGCACAGCAAACATCATGCTTAATGGTCAAACTGAATAGTTTCCTCTTAAGATTGGGAAAAAAGCAAGGATGCCTACTCTCGTCACTCTTAATCAACATAGTATTGTTCTAGCCATTGAAATAAACCAAGAAAAATAAATAAAACGGTCCCTTTTTTGGATGGCATGATTTTGTTTTTAAATTCTCAGGGAATCTAAAAACAAAGAAACAAAAATGTCTGGAGTGAGTTCACCAAGGTTGCAATGTATAAGATCAACATGTAAAATTCAATCACATTTCTATTTACTAACAACAAACATGTAGAAATGCAATACCATTTACAATTGCTCGGGGGAAAAAAAGTACTAGGTATAAATCTAGCAAAATTGATACAGGATCAGCATCTTTAGTATCCTGAAAATCTAAATAAATGGAAAGAAATACCATGTTCATGGGTTAAAAAATTTGGAATTGTAAAGAAAGTTCTTCCCAAATTGAGCTGTAGGTTCAATGCAAATATTCCTAAAATTATAAGGTGTTTTGGAGACATAGGAAAACATATTCTAAAACTTATATGAAAAGACAAAGGCCCTAGAGTATAACAACTTTGTAAAATAAAGTGTCAGGAATCACTGTAGTCAATACTGAGTAACTATTATATAGACTCAGTAATTAGGACTGAGCAACAGATGCACTGTCAATGGAAAAGATAGAGAACTCACAAAGAAATGCACAAAAATATGATTTCTTAAATAAAGCCACAAAAAATGTATTTGAAGAAGGATAGACTGTTTAGTTGAGGCACACTTCTACTCATCTATTACGGTAGTGTAGATGATGTGAATCTACAATTACTATTAAAATAATAAGGCAAACTACAAATGGAGAAAATATTTGCAAACACTACATTCAATAACAAACTTAAGATGTGAGAACATAGTTGTCAACAAATGTGCTGGGACAATCAGACATATGTAAGTGGAAAAACAAAAAAACAAAAATTAACTTTAAATGAACGCAAACTTAAAAATAAAAGGTAAAATTATAAAACTTTTACAGAAACACAAACAAGCAAGCAAACATAAGATGATCTAAATGAAGAGTTTAGATTTGAAACCAAAAGCACATTCCATAAAAGGGAAAATTTATAAAATGGACCTCTTAAAACTTCAAAAGGAAATTGCTCTGTAAAAGATCTTGTGAAGAAGATGAAAAGGCAAGCTACATAGAGGGAGAAAACATTTGTAAACAACATTCAACAGAGAACTAATGTCTAAGATTTATAAAGAACTCTTAGCATTCAACAATTAATTAAAAAAAAATTTTAAAAAGAATCGTCTAGAAAATAGGCAAACGCCATGAACAAATATTTCCTGAAGAGGATATACACTATGTCAAATAAATGAATGGAAGGATGTTCACTATCATTAACTATTGGTGGTGGGGTGTGCCGCTGAGTTGGTTTCAACTGATAGCATGCCTGTATAGGATTTCTGAGGCTGCAAATCTTTATAAAAGCAGAAAGCTTCATCTTTCTTCCTTGAAGTGACTGGCAGATTTGAACTACTGACCTTGCAGTTAGCAGCCCAGTTCATAATTCACTATGCTGCCAGGGCTCCTTATCATTAGGTATTAGGGAAAAGCAAATTAAAACCACAGTGAGGAAGCATTACAGAGTCACAAGAATTGCTGAAAATAGTGATAACAAATGCTAGCAGAGATGCACAGAAACTGGATCATCAACCATTGCTGGCGGAAACAGAAACTGTACAGCCATTCTGGAAAAGCGTATACCAATTTCTTACAAACATAAACATGTACTTACCATATGACCCAGAAAGTTGATTTCCTATAAATTTTTCCCAATAAATGAAGACTTATGTTCATACAAATCTGTACACCGATGCTCATAGCAGCTTTAGTCCTAATAGCCCCAAACTGTAAACAACCTACATGTTCTTTAATGAGTGCATGCTTAAACAACTGCTATATCCATGGACTACTACTATTCAGCAATAAAACGGAATGAACTATTATTGATCATGCAACAACTTGGTTCTCAAGAGAATTATGCTGAGAAACAAAGAAACAACGCTGAAAGGTCATTTACTGCATGATTCCATTTGTATAGCAGCCTTGAAATGAGAATATTTTAGAAATCTATTAGTTATTGCCAATGGTTAGGGACTAGGGGTAGGATGGGAGGGAAGCAGCTTGGCGATAGAAAGGTAGCACAAAGAATCCTAAATGTTAGCTGTTTCAGTAGTCACAAAAGTCTAAGCAAATGATAAAATTACATACAATTAAATTCTTACACACACACACAAATACACGTTAACGGGTGAAACTGCAATAAGGTCAATGGAAGGCATCCAAGTCTAAATGCAATTTTGCACAATAGTTACACAAAGCATTAACATTAGGGGAAACTATAAGAAGAGTACACCAGAGCTCTGAATTGTTTTTTTCAACTGCATCCAAATATATGATTATCTCTAATTAAAACACTTTTTTTAAATGATCCAATATACATTAAGAGCTATTAGTATCACTCAAAACTTGATCTGGCAATTTCAAATCAAGATGCATCAGTCACGGATCTATTCCACATTCACACCAAGTACTGTGCTAGGTAACAGAGATACAGCAGTGAAAACAGCAGACCTGGACCCGGACTTCATGTTCTTTCAGACTAGGGAAAATATGAGGCGGCTTTAAGTTCATGGAAAATGGATTTTTCCCCATGGCTTTTTGAAGCCCCCTTTTATGAAAACAGTTTAATGCATGAAGAGTTTCAGCACGTTTTCAGCAACATATCTTTTGAGTATTAAAATCAACTTAAATTTTTAACAATAAGAGAAGATAAAGTAAATTTTGGAGTACCATACAGAAAAAAAACCCCTCATTGCCATCAAGTGGACTGTGACTCATAGCAAGCTATAGGACAGAGGACTGCTCCACAGGGTTATTCAAAGGCTGTCAGTCTTTATGGGAACAGACAGCCTCATGTTTCTCCCATAAAACATCTGGTGGGTTCCAGCTACTGACCTGGCAGTTACCTGCCAAATGTTCAAACCACTATACCACTAGGGTTAGACTATATATATGGTCATTAAAATGATTAGGAATACTATTTAACAACATGAAAATTTCATACCAGATTAAAAGAAACACCAAATGGAAAATCATATATCCAGTAGTATTACAATAATTAATGACAACTTGTTTTTATATGAATAAACTTTTATTGAATTTAAGGAATTAGAAAGAATAAAGAAATTACAAGATAAATGCTTTCTAAACAACATCTGATAGTACCATCTTTTCTGGGCCATGGTATTTTCACATTTTGTTATAAAAAGTATAGACATTCATTTATTTAAATTTTTACAAAGTCAAGAACCATCAAATATGGACAAAAAGTAATAGTAGCATAAATTGCGCCGTTTAGCAATAATGGAGTGGTTGCAATAGTTAGGTTCTGAGCTTGGTCTTCTTAGGAAAATGCTGTATGCAGCAGCTGTTGGTTTCCATCTATTCAAATAAGTCTGAAAATCCAGAGACCATTCCTTCGGATGACTATGCTTGCAGGGAAAAAAGGACACTTAGCATGGAGGGGGAGAGAGAGAGAAAATACACATCTGGGAAAGAAAAGATTTTCTTAATGAATCATGGGGTTGGTATTAAAAAAAACACAGAGGAAACAAGTCCAGGAAGAAATAATTTGTGGGTTGCTTAAAAGTGTGATTAAGGCTAAACAGTTACCATTGAAAGTATGGCCAGATCTACACAGCATAAACATAGTGGGGAACCCGGTAAGTAATCTGATGAACTGTGAGGCCAGCTGAGCTGGGTCATTAATCACAAATGGAGTCTTTCTACAGAGTTGTGAGATGCATTTGGGAAAAGCCTTGTTGTGCAAAAATGCAATCCTGAGCTGTCACAGACACAGGGCAGACACTCCTGGGGGCACACCTGAAGACACTTATTTTGTCTTGGTCTTAATGCTTTTGCAAAAATAGTTTGAAAAAAGAAAAACAAAACAACTCTTGTCTTTTCTGTAACAATCTATGAACCTCTCTACTTATCAAACAAAGGGCAAGTTTATCTACCTCAGCCTGGAGGCAGCCAGTGCTGCCCTCATTAACAGTAACCCAATGTGATAACAAGGAGTCCTCAGCAACCAACCCTGTTCTGAGAGACTCCCCAGGAAAGCTCCATGCCTTTAGACCTGCCTTCCTGGTCTGTGTTACCCCCACAAATTGCAACCTTGCTCTTCTGTGATTCTGTGATGGGCTTCCGTGGAGGTCACTGAACAACAGTTGCTTTTTCCCTAGTACCCATCCCGCCCCCTTCCCCCCAAAAAAAGCGGTCTTAAAAAGATTAGTTTTCCAGGAAATAATGAACAGCAATTGTCATAGACCTTTAACAGATCCTAGAAAAGGGTAGACAGGAAAGAATCTGTCAATACAGCAATATTCCAAATGTGAAATGCATGGTTCAGCAAGAGATAAATAAATAAATATGAAAGGACATACCAAAGAAGTTTCCTTTGCTTTTCCCCATTTCTTACTGCTTTTTTTAAAAAATGTAAAATGTTTTGATTCTTTGATACAAGAGCCAGCCTTGCGGGAGCCAGTGTGAACTGGTTTTGCATTATGCCCTCTCCATAATGAGGGAGTGGGGAGATACAGAACATATTACATGCTTGCTCATTATATTCTCTACAGACCTTTATAAAATCATTTCATTGTTTAAACTTTATCTGGCACTTCTAGTCTCTTCAAAGTGAAAACAAAACCAAACCATGAAGTTAGGCATGGACTGAAGAACAAGCCCATAGGGACTACAGTTTGGGTATTAAGTGTTATCCTGTTTGTCCTTGGCTTGGCACATTTTTGAGATCCAGCTTTTTGAACAGCATCCCAGGAAATATATGGTGGGAAAAGAAGTCTTCAAGTTGGAGCAGTCTAGGCCCTTCTGAAAACCTAAGTGACCAGGTACCATTGTTTCTTCTTGTGCTTGGTACTAATACAATGATAAGGAAAGTGTTTCTTTCCCAGCACTCACCCAAGCCCAGCCCACTGTGTATGGTGCATTCCATTTATTCTTTCCTGAATCCTATCTCCCCTCCTGTCCTATACCAGGGACCCAGCCCGACTTTGGGCTGGCACCATAACAGGCACAGCACCAATTCTCTCCAGTGTTGCTTGGCTGACAGTGGAGGAGTGTGTTTGCTGAGGTCGAGGCTTCCTGCTGACAGAACCATTGCTCCTGGACACAACCTGTGGTGATGAGCCTTTGTTAGCTGTCACTACCAGAGTCTTATGTGGAGCTGGCGTCAGATGGTTCCCATTGGCATAGATGGATGGTATATTGGCATTGCCTGAGTGCAGAGAGAAAGACTGGCGCAAGTCACTGAAGTGGGTGAAAGATTCTGTGTTTCTATGAACTTTTGGATTGTTGCTCCAGTACCGACTGTTGTAGGTATTGGAAGAGGTCAATGTGTTGTTTTCTGAGGAGGATATCTCTGTATGAAATGCTTTGGCAGAAGAACATTTAGGTGGAAGATCATCCTCTCTGAAAAAAATTACAAAAAGAAAGGAAATCTGTCATTAGGATTTATTTGAGGTTCATCCCAGCTTCCTGTCCTCTTATTCTTCAGGCTAACTTTAATATATATATGAAGAACAAAATCCTATAGAGAGACCATGCACTCATGAAAGCACGAACAGTATCCTGGACAGCCTGCTTGGCATTCATTTGCTCTCTTTTTGAGAAAATGGTCAAGATATCCCCTCAACTTCTCAGTCTTTAAGAGTGGAGAAGAATATATTAAATATCTCTAAGAATGCTTCTTCCAACATATGTAAAACAACAAATGGGTTTTTCTTTCATTCTGTGTGCTGTAAATAGGAAAACAGCCCATGTAGAAATTCATTGAGAGATATGCTAGTAAATCAAGTGATGGGTTGTAGGAAATAGTTAATTCTTCAAAAATGATTAGAGGACATTTTTAGCACAGGGTGACCAAGTTGTTCAGCTTTGCCTTGTATTAAAACTCAAGTCCCGGAGTTCCAGTTTGGGCTGCGGCAGAGACAGCCAATTAAGAAAGGCTCTGTGGGGAAGGATTGAAAACCCAGAGAAGCTGCCCTCATGGAACACCACCAGAGCTCTGGATCCAGCATACGTTCCAGGGTGTCAGTTTCCCACATGCGCGCAAGTGGAAAAATCACAGTATAAAGGAAAGTACTGTGACTAAGGAATCACTCGAGAAGTGACTCCCTCTGTAGCCACCCCGCCTGGGTGAAGGTCAGAGGATGAAGCTATAGAGAGAACAGCACAGGAAACCTATGATAAAAGCAGTGCAATGACATTTGCAAAAGGAGGTGAAGAGGATTCTACACATACTTTCCTCCTCTTCCCTGTCACACCTTCTTTGCCCAGCCCAGATGCCTTCAGGTGGGTGGGTGCACGAACTCCCCCAAAAAAAGTCCAGTGTTGACCCCACAGTGTCCCACGACACAAAGAGAAAGAGCTTGGCAGCTGCTTATGACATCAGCCTTAGGGTCGCAGCCCTAAAATTAACCTGTTCAGGACCCTTTACTCTGGCCTATCTAGCAAGAAAGAAGCAGGCCCATCAGGCCTGACAGACAAACCATATGAGCAATCTGTAAAACCCCCACATAAAAGGACGCAACTATCTCGAGAATTATGTTGTGCACACGTAGATACCTAACTGACTTTCAGAGACACAAATAGTAGACAATCTTTCTCCCATTAATTTCTCAATATCTATCTGTGAACCTCTATGGTGGTGACAAGAGGAAGTGTCTGAGCAAGCAGACACCCCCACCCACTGCTGGAGGCTTCTACGGTGCAAACACACTGCCTGTGTAGCAAGGCGACTGGACAGTCGGCCACACTTTTATTTTTGTTTCAAAGTGGTGGTTTTTGTCTCTGCTTTTATATTGCTTCTACTTTTGGGCTTTTTGATAACACATTTTTCCTGGAGGTGAGAGCTTTTTCTCCCTATATTACCCAAGAAGAGACAGCAATCATGGCCATATAGCTAAGATACAAGCATACCCCATAGTATTCCACCATTAAGACAAGAGCCAATAACAGCTGTTAAGCACTACATGCGAAAAGGGAAGCCTATCTCCTGATTATATCCACCAGCAGGCACCTAATAATCAATAACACAACAACAAACCTCCATTTAAGCATTTAAAAACCCACATAACTACTGAAAATGACAAACAAAACACAACAAAAGATCTCAAAACATGTCCAAAAACAGAAAAGAGTAACTGAGACAAATGAGCAGGAGGCAGACAAAGGCTCCCCAGAAGAGGAAAAGCAGGTTTTGGATTTGCCTGAGAAGGAATTCAGAAGAATAATATGGAAA